GCGGCACATTTTTTAAGAAAAAGATTAAGGTTGTACCATTTTCTCAAGCTGAGATATATGCAGGAAAATGTCGCAAAACTTTTAGTACACCAGGTAACAATTCATTTTAGAAGCTCTCCATATTTTTCCTGTGTCAGTCTTATTTTTCCTTTTGAATGAACAAGTCATATATCATTCAAAAGAGCTCATTTCACTCTATCAGAAGACATGCTAATTCAATTTCTATTATTCATCCTCGCTGCACAATAGCCTCGGACATTTGTACGGATACTTTTGCATCGCGGGTTATGTCGAAAAGTGACTGCAAGACAAGAATGAAAGATCTGAAGACCGTAATAAAGATTGAAATGCGAGTGAATATCGAAAAAAAAAACATGGTACATTCTTTTCGGCATCGAAAAAAGCCTAATTTTTGTATTGTAACCACAAGTACTACCTTTTCTACGGTGTTAATGAACTTGCTCTTTTAGAATAAAAACTTATTAGTCTTTTCTTTGAAATAAAAAGAAAGCTTTGGATTAAGTTTGATTAGTTGTGGAGTTATACGCATTTATTAAGTGATTGTAACTTTTAGAACACCCTATACTCTTCGACCAGGATACCTAGGTCAAATAAGTACGGTCGTTTTAGAAGGTTTTTTCATCGCTTGGCAGGCATGACATTACGTCCGTTATCAACTTTGTACGATACAATAAAATACTCTTGTAGTATTGCTCCTACCAAACATTAATTGACAGCTATTTACGATCACAAACTGTACGAAATTACAGTAAACAGTGTTGCTTTTAGCCGTCTCGCCAACTGTAATTTTGGTTTTAAGGACCTCATTCACGTGTCGTATTTCATTGTAAATGGCTGTATAAGAATCATATTCTTCGATCAAGGTACAAGCTACTTATTTCATTCAGAAGCCGAGGCTTGATACTTATCAACAAAGTTTAATCTTGTTAAATTCATTGTCAATTCAAAGAAATCTTCGTTTGCAGTTCTATTGCACATTTTACATAAAGCTTATAGTCAATGTTACTCACTCGAACAGCTCAAATGTTTGCTCACACGATTAATTAGCTTTTAAGTCAATACTTCTTTCTACATAGATGTTTGACTAATATGAAAGATTCTTTTATATAAAACAATCAATTAATAATCTGAATAAAATATTTTTCAACTAGTATAAAGTCTGTGAAAATGACGTAAAGAAATATCTTCCTATTTTGACCTATCATTTCTTTTCATTATTTAATTTGCAAGTTGTCGGAAAATTATTATTAAAAGATTATTTTCGTACAATGAATAAATAATTATATATTCGCAATATTTTTAGGGTTATCCTCTTCTAACCGTAACCGAAGAACAAACAAATAAAAAACGTGTTCTTAAAATAAAACAACAACGTTTTATTGCTGATGGTAGTGCTGATGATGAAAATCTTCAATGGAAGATTCCCATAACTGTTTTTACAAAATCTAATCCAAAACAAATTGCACAACAAATATTAATGGATAAACCAGAAATAACAATAACATTAGAAAATATTCCCGATGATGATTGGATTAAATTAAATTATAACTCCATTGGCCTTTATCGTGTCAAATATGAATCTGAAACATTAGCACGTCTTAATGAACCAATTGCTAACAAAAAAATAAGTCCACAAGATCGTCTTATGGTACAAAATGATGTTGCTGCTTTATGTAATGCTGGTCATCAATCATTTGTTGATTATCTCAAAATTTTATCATCATATGCAGATGAAGATAATTTTACTGTATGGAAAGCAATTGGTAAAGATAAATAAATTAATTGTCCTTTTTTTCGTAGTCATTTAGCAGATTTTTCATAGTTTGATATAAGTTGGCATTTCTCATTATTAAACAAAAAAGGTGTTTTACCTTCTGATGTGACATAATATCACAAGATAAAAAAACATTTGTTGATAGCAAAAAAAAAAACAGACTTTAATATTCTCATATGTTCACTGTGGACCTTCTGCTAAACGAATATCGTTCTTTTTCCTTTTTGTTTTGTTTCATCAATAAAATTTTATTTTAGCATCAAATATGGCTGATTTATCATCATTACTTGAATATACAAATTATTTTGATGAATTTAAAAGATATCGTTTAAATTTATTTTCATCAATACAAAACAAACTTGGTTGGGATGCTAAACCAAATGAAGATGCACTTTCAGCTATGTTACGTCCAATGGTATTAAGTATTGTTGGCAAATCGGGTGATCAAGATACAATTGATGAAGCAAAAAAACGTTTTGAACGTCATATTACTGGAGATTTAATTGATCCAAATATTCGTGGAGCTGTTTATGTTATTGTTTCACGTTATGGAGATGAAAGTACACAAGAAGAACTTCGTAAAGTAATGAAAATAATTATTAAATGCAAAAGACTTATGTATTCTTTTTCTTATTTTTGTTTTTTATTTAGTTATATTTTGCAGCAGATATGACTGAAGAGAAAGTTCGATTACTTCGTTCAATGGGTCAATCAATTAAACCAGAAATTATTGAAAATACATTAAAATTTGTATTTGAAGGCGTATGTTATCTAATTTGAGTATTTTATAATGTTATAGTTCTTGTTTGTTTGTTTTTTTAATCTATTGTGTAGGATAATGTTCGAATGCAAGATGCAATTTCAGGTCTTGTTGGTTGTACATCAAGTTGTGAGGGTCGAAATTTAGTTTGGAAATTTTTACAAAACAATTGGAGAACACTTGTTGAGCGTTTTGGTGAAAAGAGTAATTTTCTTATTGCTTTTGTTGAGGTAAATATTTATTGGAATTTTATTTTATTTTATTTATCGAATTTTTTAATTTAGTATGGTTTATCCGATTTTGCTGATGAAAAAACGGCAAGTGAAATAAAATCATTTTTTGATAAAATGAATACACCAATCGTTACACGACCAGTCAAAAAAGTACTTGAAACAATTCATATGCGTTCTGAAGTACTTAAACGTGATTCAAAAGCCATTGAAGAATATTTAAAACAACAATAATAACAACAACAACAGTAATTATATTAGATTGAATATCAACTTTATTAATCATGATTATGCCAAATTAACAAAGAAAAACAAAACAAGCTCTAATTCAATGATTTCGTTTTTTTTTCTCTTCACTTATTCTATTAGGAACGTTACCATTTACTTCTTTTTTTTAAAGTTTATCCAATGTTCTGATAACAATAAAGTCTAGGGAAAAAGAATGAATAAACAATAAAAAAACAAAAAATTTTCTTTTTAGTTTTGTATTATCAATGTTCAAGAATAATACTGATATTGCTAAAACGTTGATTTCTTTCTATAATCATTTAATTATCGATATTGAGTACTGAGTTTTATTTATGTGATTGACGATTCTTGGTGAAATGAATTTTATAAAAAAAACAAGAAAAAAAATCTGATCAATCATGCATAAGCTATTACTGACAATGAAAAGTAATCATCGAGTATAATCATGCATACATGAATCGAGATTTTTTAATATAACTTTACTTCCGCTTTCATTCTGCTATGTCATAAATTTGTCACCCATGTCACGAAGAGGAAACATTTTCTTCTCCGTAGTCTTGCTTCTAATAAATATGCATAATATAAGTCAGTACTCATTTTCTCTTCTATATGGCACTGATTTTTTAGTAATCATCACGATATTCATGTGAAATTGACATTTTTACAATCAAAATAGAGTCATAAAAAAAATTGCTTTATTGTTGACGTTTTCAAATATTGATTTACCTGAGTCATTTCCAGTTCCGTTATTTATTTATATATATTGAGTATTAAAATTACTCGACAGGTTTATTTTCATTTTTTTTTCTCACTGCCGTCAGCATTAGAAAGAATCCATATATTGATTCAAGTAGAGAAACTAGGTTTCAACAAGAATATAAGCCAATAAAATGTTTTATTATCAGATTTACGAATATGGGAATTCTACAAAAGCAAAGTCTGAGTTTTTCAACACCTAGAGGGCTTAAATATGATTTTGTTTAAACTATATAGTTTGGTAGAGTAAACCATCTTCTACAACATTAGACATTACGGAGTTCTCTGCTGAGATACAGCTATTTGATTGGAAGTAAAAAAAAACGACTTTTCTATAGGAAATTAGAAAAAAATGACTTTAGGGACTTTCGTACGATCGTTGTATCTTAGCTAAAAAAAATGTCACAGAGAACTCGGAGACGTCTCATTTTGTAGAGGATTGTTTGCTCTATCGTTCTAGATAGTCGAAACAAAATTATACTTACCCATTCTAGACGCTCAAAATTTAGTCTTTTAGTTTGTTGAAGTCTCTGTCTTTGGAAATCTGATAATCATTTTTATTTCCTTATATCCCTTTTTGATAACAATTTTCTCTATGCGAATTACTATTAAAATTCTTTCTAGTGCTTACAGTATAGCAAAATTGAGATTAAAAGCAGTAAAATTCGTGAGTGTATTCAATTGAAATCTAGTTTATCTTAGAAAGTTCCAATCCGACAAAAAACGATAGAATCTTTAAGCTTATGCTTTTTTATAAGTTTTTTTTTTATCGATGTTTATTCGTCTTCGAATGTAACGTGACCGATATAGGATATGTAATTTATAAATATATTATGTTGGTAAGTTTTGTTGAGTTATTTTTCAGCCTAATAAAAAAATGAAGAATTTTTTTGTTCTCTTATTTATTCTCAGTGACAGAATAATAACTGCTTTCTCTCGGAACTTAATACTCGAAAAACTTAAAATGTTACTTCGCTTCTTCATAAAATTATTTTCGCAAATCATTTCCAATGTCGACACAGAAGAAGTCATTGGTGTATACATTACAATATAAACAAGTGAAAATGAATACGGTACCTATTTAAAAAAAAAACAGGTACGTGCTGAGTTTTAGAATTTCTTTTTAAATAAAAGAAAATCATTTCGTAGTTTCGTTTTGTGGCTTATTAAAAACGAATTCTGCTTAAGTTTAGTTTCTTCTAGGACATATATATATATATCAAAGGCATTAAAAGAAATGAAATTGTTTCTAACTCTGTTCGGATACAGATGATCAATCAGAAAAATATTGTTTCGTAGTCTTAATGATTCCGTGATTTTCTCGACTATTACATATATATATACTCCATGAGTTTTTAATATTGTTCGTTTTTGTATACGTTTCTTCTTAAGATAAAAGTGTATAGTATATCACACAATTCAATTCTTTATTATTATGACACCATCGAATCCATCTCTAAGTTCAATGTCCAACACCATATTTTGTTAATTTCATCTTAACTAGTACACCCTCATAAATATGAAAAAAAAAGAATTTAAGTATAAAACTCTTTTAAACGGCTGACATTAATATGAAGTTTTGCTAGAGGTACATAGATCATCCTAAGTAACTAACTTCATTTCACTATATTCAATGACAAATTGATAATATTTAAATGTATCATTTCAGCGTAATTATAAACCAAGAAATAGTAAAACAAAAAGAAAATATATATGTATTGGTATAAGTCTAAATTTATTTATAATTTAATTATTACGGTAATGCAATGTAGAAAATAGGACACATGGTGCTTTTTTTCATTTAAATAATTGACATCATACCAAGTGTCGTTGCATACATTGTCATAGAACTCAAAATAAAAAGAAAAAAAGTATACAGAGTAAACAAGTACGAACATAAACTCAGCGGTTCACTGCATGACATTTATTATAAAACTTAAAATAGTTGCTGCGCAATTGTACTTATTAAATTATAATGTTTTGTATTATTCATATGAATATTTAAAGCATATTGTTCGTCCTCATATTACAAAGATAAAAGAGCAAATAATAAACGTTACAATATAACAATTCACAATAGCTGTTAAACATATACATGATAACGCATTCTTCTAATAAACGCATCAACAATTATTGATTACATAGTGTTTCATTATATCCTACAAGCAATTCATAATTCCATCAATCATAAAATCTTTTAATGAAATTTCATTTGACTTTTTCACCTATCTTTAAATATTAAATTCTATTCATACGTTCATTACAACATATCATTCGACTGGAATAACTTTTATTAATGAAAAAAGAAAGAACAAGTGCTGAAAGCAGTTGTTCATATATATCAATCAACTTTTCATGACTACTACTTTAGGGTGACATCTAGTGAAATTGCGAAAAACTAGTATATTGAAATATCCAATCGAGATGTGTTCGTTCTTTTCACACAATTTGTTTTCCTATATTGTTACACTTATTCTGTTCAATATTTCATTATCAATTAAATTTTAATCATATAATTTATATTATTAACTTATCAACAATTTTAAAATGTCAGAAAATTTAACTTTTTTTGTTCCATATCATACTGGATATGCTCATGCTGAATTAATTCGTTCATTTTCATCATATACAGATGTTCATCTATTTATCTATAAATGGAATCCAGCACGTGAACGTATAAAAAAATATTTTTCTGATCTTAAACAAATTCATATGTATGAATTTAGTATTGATAATATTATATCTCAATTAATTAAAGAAAAACATCGAAAAATTGTTATTCTTTTAACAGCATCAACAAATTATTTATTTGGACAAATACAATTACGTTTATTTCGTTTAATTCAACAATATATTTCATCAATTATTGATGTTTATCCTGTTGGACATTGTATGTATGGATGTCAAAGTTGTATTTATGCTTATACACATTGTTTACCAATTACATTTACAAATTATATTCAAACAAAAGATGAAAAATTATTATTAGAAAAAGATTTTGAAATTCTTATTTGTCCAAGTTATTCATTTGAAAGTGCACCATTTAGTCTTTTATCAAATTCTGATATAATTGAATATATATTAACATTAAAATATTCTCATTTGATTAAATTACATCCATTAGCATATGAATATAAGGATAATAATAATAATCATCCATTTTTATCTTTAACTGATTTAGAAAAAAAACATGTTGAATTATTATTTCAATCAAAAAATCTTCTATTAAATGAACAAATAAATACATTAAAATTAATTGAACATACACGTATAATTATATGTGATTCAAATTCTTCAATACCATTTGAAACACTTTATTTTCAAGATAATAAATATATATTTGTTTATGAAACAATCGATGATTATGATGAACAAGATGATCGAGAAAAATATTTTCATAAATTTTCAAATGTTGAACAATTAAAATTATTATTTGAAAATTATTATAATCATCAACTTGAATGTAAAACAGAAAATAGTCATGAGTTTTTTTTAGAAAAATATGATGAACCAAATGGAAATGAAATTGAAAAATTAGTTCATATACGTCAATGGATAATAATAGATAAACAAAATAATCAAGAAGAATCTTTTGATATAGATACAATTAAACAAACAATTCATAATGAATTTAAATCAATCTCAACACCAATGACTTTATATACATTAGGCGAACTTTCAATGTCAGAAATAGAACAAAGTTTTTTTAGTGATGAAAATCAATTATTTGATATTATGCAAAATAATGTTAATGAACTTTAAGGATTGATTTTTGTTTTCTGTTTTAGATGTTTAATATAAATGGCATCATCCAGTGAAAATGATGAAAATAGTTCAACAGATGATGATGACAATATCATTTTTTATGATGCTAATAGTAGTTGGATTAATAATGAAGTAACTACGTAAGTCATTAAATCAGTCTCAGATAAAAAAAATAGATATACACTCATTTGAGATAATTTTTTTCTCACTGTTTGGATAGGCGCAATATTGCGATCATATTTCACTGTATTAGTGAATGCTCGGGTACTTGATTATCAGATTATTTGATGGCTCTTATCAACTGTCTACGGCAAGATTAAGTATGGTCGTAATACTATGCATATCAGTCGTCCATTAACAGCTATTTATGACAGAGAAATGTACGAAGAGATAAAATACAGTACTATTTTTTTGACTCCCTGGGAGTCAACTAAAATCATCATCTTGAGATCTATTTTAAATGAAAGATATCAGGATATAGTTTAGCAAAAAGAAGCAACTTTGTATTTTTCTGATAAATATAGATGTTGATGGAAATAGAACATATGCCGAAGAATTCAAATATATGAACTTATTATCATTCTTCTGAGAAATTTCAAAGTAGTTTATTTTGCCTTGAAATAGCTTTCATAATCCTTACGATATCTTAAATATTTTGAATTGAAATTTTGTTAATTTTGTTTTGTTGATTAAATACTTTCTTGTCATATGTGATCTTATCAAAAAAATGATGGTTATGCAAAAAGAATGAACCTTATCAGGTACCTACGAGACTGTCTCACTCTCTTGCTCATGCTTACATGTCTCTTTCTTTTTTTCACTTGGTGAATATATTTTGAAAGTGCGAAATTATTTCTTTCGTGTTCTTTCATTACACCTCGATCCATAAGATGGCGTAATATGCACTTCGTAACGATCTATACAATATTACATAAACGTACGCTAGAATTCAGGATAATTTCACAGATTTCTGAATTTTCTTCTAGTCTTTATCAATATCTTAATATACATGCTAAAGAAGATGGTTTAGAAACATTGGTTTTCAACTTTGTTCGTCGAAGTTGATTTTAGTTCGAATACAAAAATAAGTTCAGTTCAATTAATAAAGAATATTTTTTTTATAAGAACATAAAAACTTAATTGAATTGAATAGATGACGTTTTTCTCATGTATTTTTTTGATATTTTTTAATACTATTTTTGTAAATAAGCATGAGAATGTTAGTTAGAGTTTTCACTTCAATAAACCTCACTCTGACAAGTTTATGTTTACTCGTCCTCGAGGCAAATGTCATTTATTCAATTTAATTAAGTTTGCATGTTTTCATAATATATATTCATTATTAATCTTGACAATCTCATTTCTACCTTGAAGATTAAATTGATTTGACTCAATTAAAAAAAATCTATTTTCTCGTCGTCAAAAATATGCTTATCTAGATTGTTCTCTCGTTAAAAATGTTTGTTTTTTTTTTGGTGGCAAAGGTGGATTTTATAATTATCAAGTCCGGAAAAATAAATCTTTCCAAAAAAAGACGGTCTAGGAATAAAATTTTGATGAATGTCAAATCCACCTAGCGTGAGAGCTTTTATTAGCGTGCGTGTATATTTTCCTAATAATGCAATAAACAAGAAACAAACATCGAATTACAAAATATTAAGCATAATTAATAATTCTAATATATATATATATATATTTATATATTAGATCTCTTCCACAAGATCCTCGTTGGGCATTATTATCAAAGAATGATGGATTAAAAAAATCTGTATGTTTTAATAAAAGAAAACCGACCACTATTAAACTATTTGGTTATCATATATGTTTTTTCATTAGGAACATTTTTGTACGATACCATTAACTGAAACTCAATTAAATGATATAGCACGACGTGATAAACTTCAACGATTACGTGCTCAAGAAGATCATATCAATCGAAATAATCAAAATCAAATAATTACAATACTTCCATCTCCAATTGAGTCAAATTCTATATTATCATCAACAGCAATATCACCTAGTCAATCAAATCATATTGAAAAACAGCAATCAATTAATGAAGATAAATCATCAGCACCTGATCTTCTTAAAGATCATATTGATAATGAACATACTCGTCGACAAAAAAAGGTTCGAAATTTATCATTAATTATTTATTATATTTACAGCCTCTATCCTTTTTTTTATTGAAACTTTTCATTCATCAAAAAATCTAATCAGCTTAGAAAGTCTATCAGGAAAGTTCATGTAAATAGTTCTTTAACAATTCAAGCGACTTAATTGATATTTCTTTTTAATGATATGTAAGTATATTCTTTAAAGTTATGTTCTATAAATATTAAGATAAATATCTGCATCTATCAACATCAGAACAACAATTATTTTATAAATAATTGATTTTGGCAAAAAAAACACATCAAATGAAGTTTGCATTAAAGTTGCATTTCAATGCTTTTCTAAAGCTGATATAGTGAATAGATCGTCAAAAATTATACAAGAAAAAATCGACAAAGTTTATGAAAATTGAACCACAATCAATTGTTCAAACTGTTGCCAAGACTTGCTCCCTTCCATGAACATTAGCACATCAAAATATGCCAAAATTGTACAAGATGCGTAAAATAAAGCAGACTTTTGCGACAGTTCGAACACTTAATTTTAGTTCATTTTTAATAAACTTCGTCGACTTATGCTTCTATAATTTTTGACGATCTTCACTTAATGTGTTTTTACCACAGGCACAGATATATATATATCTGATCTAAAAATATGTAGAACAAAACTCTAACGAACATACTTACAAATAAAATCATTGTGAACTGTATACGAGATAGTTATATTGAACTTTCCCGATGAACATTTGAGATGTTCTGTCTATTGACATCAGTTTTGTACTTTTATTGTAGAGATTTACATTCACTCTCCACTTAATCAATCATAGTTAAGTTGATAACATGAGCTATTGACAACTTGTTTGTAAGATACGCTTAAAGTATTCTTTTAATTTATCTTGCGAATAATAAAAGTCCAAACAACAACAACAACAACAACATTCTCTTACTGCTTGCTTAGTTCTAGATTTTGATGGAGTTCAATTATTGATTTCTGTTATAATTTCTATGTCTTTTTTTTTTTCATAGCATCTAGTATTATCTACACCAAAACAAATTCTGATAAATTCATCTCCTATTATACAATTATATCAGCAACAACAACGTTCATTACCCTATCCAACATTACCAGTAATTGTATCAAATCGTAATACAGATGGATATTATTCCAAAATAACAAATTTATCAGCTATAAGTGAACCAAATATTGTTGATTTAAATCATATTGATTATATAAAAAAAATTGATGATTTATCATCAAATAATCAAAGATTAAATGAAAATGAAATATTTCGACAATCTATAATACATAATCTTGATAATGGTCTATATATTCGATTAAGTGATGCTAATCCAATGACACAAACAATATTAGAACGTGTTCATGGTAGTAATAGTATGATAACATTACGTCAAAATTCAATATTAAATAATAATAATAATAATATAAGACAAAATTCATCTGATAATAATAATAATAATAATAATATAAATGGAACAAATAATTTAGAAACAAGTTTAACACGTCAACGACATAAATCAAATGGCGACGAAGAAGAAGATGATGATAATGAATCTACATCATCAGAATCTTCAAGTACAAAATCAAGTCATACAATAGCTATTTCATTGTCATCATCACCTACAAATAAATCATCAGCAACTGCTATACGTATAGCAACGTCATTATTTCATGATGGTAAACGACAATTAACAAGATTAGTTAGTCGAAGTTTTTTACGTAGAAATGGAAAAAAACAAATTCAAGGACAACATGATATTGTTGATATTGATGAAGAAGAAGAAGATGGAGAAAGATTATTAATCAATGATGGTTCTAATGGTGATCTTAAATATAAACAATCAAGAAATTTAAAAGAACAACCACAATTTGATAAAACACAATTATTACAAACAATTGTTAATGCTCATAATGGACCTATTTGGTGTATGAAGTAAAAATAAAATTGAATTCATTTTATTTTATGTTTCTATTTATTTTTTTATTTTTAATTAAATATAGATTTTCACCTGATGGTCATCTTCTTGCAACCGGTGGTCAAGATAGTCTACTTAAAATTTGGGTACTTAAATCAGCACAACCATATTTTAATGATTTTTCTCATATGACATCAAATTCATCTAAACAACAAAATGAAATTTTAATAAAAAGATTTAATGAATTTCATCAAACAATATCATCAGAATTAATAACACCAACAATTAATACAAAACTTGGTCTTAATGAAATGCAAGCTCCACTTTATTCACGACCATTTTGTGAACTTATTGGTCATCAAGCACCTGTACTTGATGTTGCTTGGTCAAAATCTTTATTTCTTCTTTCATCATCAATGGATAAAACTGTACGATTATGGCATTTAAGTCGACTTGAATGTTTATGTTTTTTTCGTCATGTTGATTTTGTCTCAGCTATTGCATTTCATCCACGTGATGATCGATATTTTGTATCAGCAAGTTTAGATGGGTAAGTTAACATAAAAACAAAAGAGAACATTTTTTTTTTTATTTATTTATTTATTCAATAATTAATTTCTTAGTACAGTTATTTGAATCAAAAACTTTTATTGATAAATTAGACATTGGTAAATGTGCTACAGTCAATTATTGAGTACTATTCGGTATATACTAATTTTATGAAAGTTGTCTATGTTTGATTATTTTGAATATTATAATATCTAATTATTTATAAATCATTATGGTGAATGAAATGATTTATCATACTAATACGATTGAAATATTATGCTTTTGTTTTTCAAAATCTTATGCTCATATTGACATCTAATTTGTTAAATATAAATAAAACGACAGAAATAAATATTTTCTTCTATTGTGATTTAATTTCAATTTCATATAATATATTTTGCTTAGCCTAAAAGCTAACAGTGTTAATAATTTTATACTTTAGTTAAATATTTATGTTTTGCATATAGACATGTTCGTCTTTGGAATATTCCTGATAAACGTGTTGTTTATTGGACTTCAATTCCAGCTCAAGCATCATCACCAATAACTGCTGCTCAAGGCAATTTAATAACAGCTGTTAACTTTTGTGATGAGGGTCGTAAAGTAATTGTTGGAACATTTGATGGTCGATTTTTATTCTATACAGATTCATTACAATATGATGTTAGTATTATTTTAATATCTATTTTTACTTTAATTTATACTATATTATATTGTTTTTTAAAGACTGTTATGAATATTGGTGATAAACATGGCAGTCGAAATCATAGATCAAGAAAAAAACGTCGAAAACCATATAAAATAACAGGAATTGAATCAATGAATTCTAATAGTTCAAAAGTATGATAAATAAAATCTGTAAGAAATAATATTTACTTGAAATTTTCTAGGTTTTAATTACATCTAATGATTCTCGAATACGTTTATATGATATTCGAACAAAAGAAATCGAACGTAAATATCGTGGTTATTCAAATCAATCAAGTCAAATTCGTGCATCATTCAGTCATGACGATCAATATATAATCAGGTATAGAATTCATTTTAAATCTATTGTTTTTTTTCTTTATTTATATAAATTTAGTGGAAGTGAAGATAGTTGGTTTTATATATGGAGAACTGAACCAAGTTGTATGGGAAATACAAATAGTACGATTACAACGAATGCTAATTTAACAAGAAAACAACGACGTCATTATGATCGTGTTTTTGAACGTATCCGAGGTAATTAAAATCTCAAATTTTCTTATTAAATAAAGCAACAAAAAAAAAAAAAAAACATTCTTTTTTTCATATTTTTAGTTCACAATACAATGGTAACATCTGCAATTTTCGCACCAAATCCGGTGACAATTATGGATTATCTTTATTCATCACATGTACCATTATCAAATGATAATTTGTCTTTAACGAATCGTTCTAATAATCCTATTAATATGCCTCGTTCTTTGTCAACAACAATATCTACAACAACACCAATTGCGAGTAATAATCGAACACGTTTTATTTGTGTACATGCAACTTCAAGTCCAATCGAAGGATCTTCTTCAACGAATAATAATGGACCTATTTATGTTATGGTTACAGCCGATTCAAAAGGACAACTTAAATTATTAGTCAATCGATTTCATCGTTGAAAGATAAATATATATATATAATACATATTCAATTTATTTGGATAATACAAAAAATTCTTTCTCTTTATCTTCTCAATGTGATAATTTAATGACAAAATAATCTCTTTTTTTTTCATCTCACAAAATGATGTAATAGTTACATATATATTAGAACAGTGATATATGTAGGATTTCTTTTTACTTTCTTTTCACATATATCTAATTTCTTTATTGTTAAAAAATATATGATAAACGAAAAAACCCAACTCAATCCATCACACAAATAACAGTAGTTGTAAATGACAAGACAGAATTTTTTAACATGTCTTTCAAAGAACTTTATAATTTTCTCTTCATTATTCTCTTGTGTTTTGTTTTTTTTTTTAATACATAAATATTTAACTGTAATCTATATACAAAATATATATCTATATACTTAAATATGCACCGATGAGAAAGAAAAAAGAATTTATAATTATTCTTGTTTTTTTTCTTCTTTTCAAAACACAAAAAGTTTTTATATCAATGTATTCATATAAAATTTTTGTAGAACTGTATGATTGTTATTATTATTGTTATCGATTTTAAAAAAATATGAGTGCGGTTCTATTTGAAAAGAAAATTTAAATGTAAATAAAGAACATATGTCTAATTTCTATAATCTTTGCTTCCTACAGTTTTTTTTTTTCCATTGTTATTATGTGATCGCCAATGGACAACTATGTGTATCTATATATGTGCATTATGTTACTATCATGCGTTCTTTCTCTTATTGCTTGTCTACACTCATCAACGTTTTTCATCGTCGTATACGCGCCTGTGTACTTTATATTTTTCGTGGGTTCGATAAAAGAAAAAACGTTAGTTGGGCAATGGGTGAAAAATAAGAAAAATGGCATGATGCTTGCGTGCAATAGGCAACAACATGCAAAGCTATATTTTTTTGTTATTGTGTCGCATCATTAGAAGTCAACAGCAGAAATAAACCTACATCTATATTTTGTTCGTGTCATATGAATGTATTTAAGAGAAAACAAATAGAACGAGAGTTTTCTGTTGATAGAAGTTATTAAAAGGATAATGGTCGTATTGTAGCTATTTTATTATTGCTTCAATCCATGATTAATATAAAACAGTTGAGTGTTGATAATGTATGAATGTTTAATCGAAACATCGATTATCATTATAACTCAATTTGACATTTTTTTTCAATCATGCGTATTAGTTATTGATAGCCTCGAATTACCAAGGTTGCACTTTTTAAAATACTACTCGCTAAATGATGACAACAGGTGGTCTCAGATAATCTTTTTCTTCTCTCTTGCCCATCTGATGCCACTTATATTAGTGACATTAGTAATTCTATTTATTATTTTTGAATATGCATATATATTTAACTTCAAGAAGGTAAGCAGAAAAAATACAAGAACCAAAATTTATGTCAATCATGTGATTATCGTGTATGGTTTACGTCATTACCTATGTATGTTTTTTATCGTAAAGTCATTCGAGGACTCACATAATGTTGAGTGTACTTCAAACTAAGAATGAAAAAAATACGATACATGTACATACATAGAGACAGAACAATGATATACTCATTCATTCAAACGACAAGCAACAACATAAGTACTATTTTAATTGTATGGTATATGCATGCGCGTTCTATCCTGGTGAGATGGGAGAACCGAGAAGAAGAAAGTCGATGATTGCTGCAGTACGGTGTTGTTGTGTGTCAAACGAGAAAGAGGCATACGTACGTCATCAACAGCAGTGTCGATTCCCTTCTTTCTTTCTTCTTTTTTTCCTTTGCTTGCTCGTTTACTCGTCTCGTTTTTGCTTTATATGTTCTGCTATACATTCAACTGTACGAAAGAGTAAAAGCGAAGAGAAAAAGACCCGTAACAACGGCGGCGGCGACGGCGTTGGCCAAGTATGTATCATCACATCATCATCATCACTACTGCTATTCTATAAACTATCAATCGGGCAGATGATATTCTCCTCTCTGCATAACTTCCTCCTATCAATAGAAAAGCTATTCGAATCGATATCTTTATTTACATGTATCTCTGAAATTTGGAAATCTCTTCGCTTTTTTTACGTTATGTACTAATTATCCACACCTGGTTTTTCTTTGTCGACTCATATATTTAGGTTTTTTTTCTACAACTGATTTGTCTCATCATGATACATCGTTTAGAAATGGGGTCATGTGATACATTTGCCTAGTTCTCTATCTAATTTTGTGTGTACATATGGAATGGATAGCAGAGAGTTTGTCATTTTAATTATGTCTTTAGATACATAGAAATTGTAAACATCAAAACAAACATCATTATGGACAGTCAAAATATTTATTATTATTCATTGATAAACGATCATGAATACTGAGAATTTTTTTTTAAAAACTCCATCCAATATTCGATTCCTATTGATTACAGCTAATACTGGCACAGTATTTGAAAAGGTACCTATACTTTTTCTTTTTCTTTTTTTCTATTCTATATGTTTACATCCGCTTTTTTTTTTCTTTTTTTCCTAGCCCGAGTTATTAACTGCATGGGTGACCGAATTCGCAAATGTAAGTTACATAAAAAGAGTATCATTTACCATTAGTATATAAATATAAGGAAAAAAACGTGATTTTGTCGTCGTTTTTATTTTCGAAGTAAGGAGACCAATAAAAGTGGAAGAAATATAAAGAAAAAAGATAAGCAAAAGACAAGTGATTTTGATTTATTAAAAAGAAAAACTACTGGCAATTATTAATGCGAAGCACTTGTTTTATCACCATGAGCATAGTTAAATTTCATTTTTCTCATTCCTTTTTTTCCGCAACTACAACAACAATTAATGTCATATGATGACCCATGTATTTGATGAAAAAGCTCTTCAAATAGTTGTTTTTTTCTATTATGACATACGTTCGTACTTATTTCAGGGATTATCTTTTTCGCCTAAAAGAAAAAAACAAAAAAATATTTTTTTCTTCTTCATTTTAAGTCCATATTTCCGATATTCTTACTTCACATTGACATTCACAATCAATAAAACATGCTTTAAATTTATCAATAATAATTGTATTTTGTTTTGATGGCTTTATTTCTGTTGAATTGTCTAATAGAAAATTTTTATTTTTATTTTTTTCATCATTATAATGCATATTATCTGCATCAGACATTGTTGATGGTTTGTCAACAATAATACATCGATCAGTCATTTCTTTATTTAATGAACAATTTCGATTGATATTAATAGGTTCTACAGAAATTACATTCATATTTTTCTCATGAGATTGATTTAATGAAGACATTTTTAAATCGTTATTTAATGATGCATAATGAATAAATATTTGTTTTAACCAATTATTTATTAAGGTCGTCATATAGAAAGAAACTTAAAAGGAAAAAACAATAATATTCAATTTGGCGCATGAATATTTAATTAAATTATTGAATGTTTTACCTATTTTAGGCTGTACGTCGTCATCCATCTGATTTTATTGCATTGCATTGCCAAGAAGTTGGCGGAAAAGATTATGAAAACTATATGCAAGTTCTTGATCCATTTATTAAGTAATTTCATTTAGTTTCTTTTACTCTCAAACTTCATATTCAATTTTAATAGAGAGATTCTTCAAATACCTGATATTGCTACTAATTTTACTCGATATCGTTTTTATTTTGATTCCGATTATACATCTCAGGATACATTTACAGTAAATAGAAATTTTCTAGAAATAAAAAAACAAAAGTTTTTCTATTATATATGCATATTTTAGGCTCTTGGTTCAGCTTATTTTATTCGTCAGAATATACCTATACAACAATGGAATTTTACAAGTAAAATAAAATCATAAATAAAATTTGTATTTATTTTTAATATTTTTATTTATCAATTAGCTTCATGTTTTGAATATGTTACTAATCGTCAGATTTCTACTGGTAATTTGGTTCATGTTCAAACAGTGCGCCAAGAAAAATTCCCTCGAGAGTTTTTTTCAGAAGTAAAACTTATAGAAACAAAAATGATTTTTAATATTTTATTTATTTATTTATTTTTTATTAGTCGAAATGGTCTCGAAAAGGTTTTACTCAAACACGTTGGTCAATAAATGATTTGTAAAAGAATTTAATAAAATAGATAACTTTTATTTACATGTTTGTTTTTTTTTTTTTAGTATTTTTGACATGGTCAATGTACATCTTTTCCATGACGCTTCAAATATTTTAGCTGTTGAACAGAGTCCTTCTATATACAGTAAATTTCGTAAAAATGCTTTAGAATTTACTCTAAAAAGGTATACAAATATTTTACTATATACGTATTTATTTCTAAACAACTATTTATATACGTTAGCTTGCCACTTGACTCTTCTGATGCAGATATACCATATATTATATTTGGCGATTTTAATTTTCGACTCGATGGTCATCGTTTACTTCAAGTAAATATTTATAAATAATGAATTTGAATTGTTTTCTTCTCTAAATTGTTCGTTTTGATAGCATATTGCTGAAAAACGAGATGGCTCAATTGATAAAATAAAAAAATCTGATAGTGATGAACTTTCAAAAATTATTATAAAAAATGCACAAAATAAAGCAAAATTAACGATTGGAAAAAAAGAATTTAATCTTCATGATGATCATGATGCATTTTTTACTATTGATACTCAACAGGTAAAAATATCAACAAAATACTAAACAATAACCTATCCAAAAGAAATCAATATGATAAAAACCGAGAAAATTTTTTGAGATTGTTAATTAAAATATTTTAGTATAAATATCATATCATTGTCTTTTATTGCAATCTATTGGCGACAATAAAATTTAAAAAAAACAGAATCATTTTGGCTATTCTCATTACCTATTATAATGGGCAGCCTGGTAGCAAAATTTTTCCGCTTCAGTTTACTTTCCTTAAACGTATGATATCGACAAAGTTGTGATATTAACCTATCTAACAGTAATTTCGAGAAACAAAATGTTTCTATTGCTTTCTCAATTTTTTTTGCGACTAAAATGACTGCGTTTTGTAGTGTTAACGTGCCATCTATGTTGGAATTTATTTATGTATAAAATGTTTTTTCTTTCTGTTCGTGTGATATGTTTTAGTTTCGTACGTTCGATTATGAACTTTCACCATTTACTGATCAATTATTTGAATATGAAAAACATTTTCCACCAAGGTTTGTGATATAAAAAAAAAAAGAGGAGAAATTATTCATTTTATTGCTTCTTTTCGCATGAAAAATTGTATTTTGTCATTTTAGTTATCCATACAGTGAAGATATCGATGAAGCTCGTTCTTATTTACGTGTTCGATGTCCAGCTTGGTGTGATCGTGTTCTTTTGAGTCATTCTTTCAAAAATTTTGTTAACACCGAGGTTATTTTTCTTTATAAACTGTAAAATCAGTTTTATATATTATTGTTTTTTTCGTCTTGATAAAATCTTTAGACTAATCGACCAACATACAACACTCTTGGAGATGATGTATGCATGGGCGATCATAAGGTTTGACATATAATTGATTTACTTACAGTTATTTTTAATATAAAAATCTAATTTTTTTAGCCAGTCTATTTGGCATTAACGACAAAACTGCCACAAGGTTGGTCTACATCTCCATCATCTTTAATCAGTGTTTTTTCTTTCTCATATATATTTTTTTCTAATTTCAAATATTTATCTGCTCTAGTTAATATGTATTCGTGCAAAGCATTTACTACTACTACACCTAACAATTATAATAATAATAATAATAATAACAATTATACTAACAGCCAAGCAAAATCACCTGTCACTGTTACGAGAAAAATAGATGCAAATATGGCATCAGATTTTATTTTGAATGAAGTAAAATTACCATCGAATGGTATTAATCTTAATAATATTCATGATTATGCTATGTTTGTTCAACCAAAACTTTTACCACAATGGTGGTTTGCTAAACTTCGACAACGGCCTTTGAAACCAATCACTAATAGTAGTATACTCTGGGCTAAAGTACGAGCTGTAACATATATGACATCATTACTTCATCGAACTGGTTCATGGTATTCAGATGATCAAACAGAAAAATCACCAATTGATGACATATCGTCATCATCAGATATAGATGATAAAAATAATAGAATAAATATTGAATTAAATGATTTACAAGATTATAAAAAAAATGATCTTGATGTACCATTACGTCGATCATTTAGTTCAATTGCTTATGTAACACATAATGAAATACCTTCAACAACATTAACTCGAAGTCGTTCTACAACACTTATTAATTCGTCTAATTATTTATTAGATTCTCCTCCTACTGAATTATCGCCACCACCTCCACCCCCCCCACCCCCCCCCGCCCCCCCCCCCCCCTCACCCCCCCCCCCCCCCCCCTCACCCCCCCAATCGAACGTACCAATGTCTTTACCGTTTGCCTACTAATAGAGCTAAACACTTTCGATCGACTATATTAGTGACGACACTATGGAACATGTGTATTGTACNTTATCCTAAATTTCAGGCATAACATGATAACGTTTGATCTCAAAAACGGATGCATATTTTTAAATAACAATTAAAATCACCCGATAAAATTCAATGTAGATTAATATGGCATTCTCAAAAATGCAGCACTGTTACAAGCAACAATTATCCGAGGAGGGGCGATTCAAAAGACAAATTTTTTTTCGCAAGCTTCGATCGCAAAAATTCTTTCATAGAAACTTATCATTTGGATCCAATATCAGCCTCCATAAATTTCATCTGGGTCCCATGCTCTCAAGACGAGATATCGTACACTCAAAAATCCTAGATCCGCCACTGATGCTTACTTCCTGAGAAACCTCATTAGGGTTATAACTTTTCTATGTCATAGAGAAAACACGCTTCGACATCATTTCGTGTTTGAGAGTTATTCAAAACTTAAGATACTTAGAAAAGTGTCCTTTATTCGAGACATTGCTACTTAAAGGTTAAGATGACAAACCTGAACATTTTCATTTATCGCTTGTAAATAAATTTATTTTTGCGAAAATTCGATTTACAATTTATTTGTAAAACAAAAGCAATCAGTAAGCTTGATAGGAAGGTTGTTTGTATTTTAAACTGAAAACGTAATAGGAACGTGAAAGGGCATATCATACATCAATAAAAAAAATATGAATTCTATGAAAGTTTCTTTTTCTAAAAGACCTTCATTGCTAAATAGGAAATTTCTGATAACTATATAAACCGTAATCTTAATAAAAAATGATACGTTATGAACCAAAAATGTATTAAAGGTAAATTTTGTTTATTTCTAATAAATAATTCAAATTCATCGAGATTCATTTTACTTGACTTTAGACTGACGGAAGAGCAACATGTGGTATTCTATAGACTGTCTTCTATAAAATGCATAAGTATCTCTAAATCGCATGAGACGTTCAGGATTTGTAGATATGATTGACCTAAACTTATCGACAAGACTACTTTATTAAATTTCATCAATTAGTACGTATATATGGAAGGCGACACATATCATGATGTTATATGAAATTGCAAAAATTACATTGCAGTCAAAAATAATTGAATAGAAAAATTTTTCGAATTGTACTTATAAAGTCTTTGCCATGCATATAAATATTCTGATTGCTCATAATCTTGGCTACAACCTGCTATTGGCTTTTTAAATGTTTCGAATAGTATATTATTGTATGTGAACGACTACTCTGTCTAAAGTAGGATGAATACTCTTGAGACAACACAGTGTTTGGAAAAAATGAAAATTGGTGAGTATATCCATGTATAGGATTTTGTAAAGAATCAATCTTTCTACAATATTCACTAGACCTGAGTTGTCGTTTGTTTTTCTTTAATATTTTAAGAGCAAAGTATCTCCATGGTGCCAATCACGTTGTATAACATTGAATTCCAATATTGATGAAAATTTTAGCGTTTGTAAAACTTGAAATTCTAAGCTTTATTGAAATCTATGACTATATTCACATTCCTGATGAGACGATGAATCGATCTATACTAAACTTGAATTGAGTTTTGGCAAAATTGATTTTAATATGTTTGGTTCACTGTTCACCCGCTTCTCAATGCAGTGATATCTTGAGCTTGCGATTATCTGAAAAAGCCAAAACCATTTTCAATACTATGGAAGTCGAGTTTACTATGGTTCGATGCATCGTCTCATAACGAATCCGAATATGGTTTCAGATTTTAGCCTTAACATTGTTTTAGTGAACTAAACTATCAAAAATAGTTTGTTGAAGTTTCACCAAAAACCCATGTGCCGACGGTTCTTCATTTCTCACTGCTCAAAATATGTTGAGTCTGCCTCCGTCAAAGTAAAAGATTTTTGAAAAATACGTTTTATCAAAGTCCTTTGAATTTAAATTTCTGCAAACTTCATACAAACTTAAGCTAGGCGTTCATAACAGCTACAGGTTTCTGCCTCGGATGCACCTTAAATTGTATAAGTGAAAATACTACTTTATAAAGTTGATTCAATATTTAGTCGTATTGAAAATACTGAGAATTCTATACTATTAGGATCGTAGAGTAAGTGATGCTCTATTGAATTATATCACGACTCCATATCGAGCAATTCGAATTTATCGAATTATCACGAGTACAAAACAGTAGTGTTGAGAAGTGATTGAGCAGTATATCAAACATATTCTAATCAATTTTTGCAACAACTCAAGTCAAGTTTATTATACTTTGCTGGATGATCTCATTAGGAATCTGAACGTGGTCTTGGACTTCATTTTTCACTTTGTTTTTATGAAATCAACGGTCAAAATCTGTTCGGTAAAATAATGCGAAAAAAAACCTTTTTCTTGAGATTTTTTTGGTTTTGTACTACTAAAAGTATTTTCAGTCTACCTCTATTGAAATAAATGATCAGAGAAAAAATATTGCTTATCAAAATGATTAGAATCGAAAGTTCAACAAGTGCTGAAATTTTCATTAAAGTTGGAATTCACTTTTGTACAATGTAATTGACACCATGGAAGTACTCGCATCTTAAATTTAAAAAAAGCGAGCACTCAGATCTAGTAAATGTTGTAGAGCAATCCATTCTTTACAAAACTCTATTTATGGCTATACTCACAAATTTCATTTTCCGTACGCTTTGTTGTCGCAAGAGTATTCATCATACTTTACAGGGTGATTGTTGACATATAATAAAATACCATTCGAAATATTTTAAAAAAATCATAGTCTGTTGTGGCCAAAATCATGAGCAATCAGAATATATTTATATACATGCATGGTTAAAACTTTATACATGATTATATTGGTTTTAGAGATGTGGCTTGGGATTTTTTGATATATCAAAGAACAAACTTGAAATTAGAACCTAGTTTTTCATCATTTGCAATCTTTTGTAACTTGTTCATGTTTGAGATAATACGTATGCTATAAATTATATATATACATATGACATAAGAACCAATACAACTATTTAAAATTAGTTCTATATGCATCATTTGTATTGCAAAAAATTAACATTATAAGATGCAAATAATATGATTTTTTTAATCATTAATCTTATGTTCAGACTTATTTTCTAACTTTTAATAATTATTTTTATATCATATCCTCATGTATACAGCATTGAACAATGAATTGAACCATTCGATAATTTAACAAATAGTGGCCATCACTTATGAAAGTGGACCACGCTGAATAATAATTGTTGTTAACGACCGTAATTTGTCATTTATTGATGAATAGCGTGATTCAGTATTACGATCGTATTTTTTCACATATAACGGCGAAATACGGCAGTGACATTGAATCATGTAAAATAACAAAAAAATAGTCATATGTGATAAAATACGGGGTGTATATAGATTTCGTATTTTTCGTTCGGGTTATTGATCCCCGGTTAATTTTAATTCTAATGCGTAGATGCTCTTTATTTGTTATCTTATGCAATCATTTATAACATTGTAGTTATAGCAATGAGATGATCATTCGTAGAATAGTTACCATATGGTAATTATTCTATAGACGGTAGATAGACAGATACAGGGGAATTCCAGTTTCTAGACCTTATCTTTTCAGTCAAGAGAATAATATATTCATTTAAACATATCACTGACATAGTATACATAGAATCCACAAAATAAAGTCGAATGTCATCTAAACTGTTAATATGAAATAGTTTGTAATTAATAAAATATTCTGAATGGATTGACAAAAATCATTATAAATGTACAGCTAAATTTTTATTTTATTCAATGTATATAAATAAAAAAACCTTGATAGAATGTCATCAAGTCTTTTTGCTTCTTGTGCCTGATTTCTTTTTTTGAAAAATATTATATATATTATGTGAATGTTTTTTTTGAAAATAACTGTGAAAATATATATTAATAACAGCCGGACGACTGTAGTTTTTCGATAAAATGCAATCTTTTATTTTGAAAGTTGAATTTTCGTCGTAATATGCACTTTAAGAGTATTTAATCTATTCTAAATTATCTAGTCTAATGTAATAATATTTTGAGATCTAATGAAAATCAGCAATAATATGATTGTTTTCGTGATTTGCATTATGCGCCAATATACTTTGTTTAATGGCTGAGTTTTTAGAAAAAAAGAAATAATTCTTGCTCTTGAATGCATAAGAAAAAAACCTTAGGTTCAAAAAACAAATGGCTAGATTTCGGTCATCTTAGAGAAGAATCTTTTTCTGAGGAAAGTAGAAAACCTTAAGAAATAAATCACACAGATTCTGACACTACAGCTCTCACTTTATCATTGCATAATAAAAACTTTGTTCCAACACTTTCTCTATTGAGTAAAGTGCGCATTATTCTTAGCTAACTGTTCTATCAAAAGATATGTTCACTGTAGTGAGTGTATACATCTTAGCACAACTTCAAACTAGACGAAACTTTCATAGTATGTTGGTTTTTTTTTCTATTTGAAACATCTATTCAGTTACTATGAAGATGTTTAAATGATTCTAGACTGAGTTGAGGGTTTTTGAAAACACAAACTTAAGTTTTCAGAGTTCTCATGATCTTCTGATTTCGAATACTTTTTTAAAGACAACTGATGACATAGTTAGAATCAGTACAAAAAAAGCTGTATCGAATGATGTATAGTGTATTAGTTTTTCAAATAAAAATGTTTTAAACAAAGTACTTGTACTAGCGTTTCTTAAAGGATTTTCTATTAAATTTTTTTTTCAGGCTTCAGAACCTTTATAAGATATTTTTTCTTAATAGTAACAATTAATATAATATTTCCATAGATAAAAATACGAGTTCTACAGAAAATAAGTCATATATAATGTGCTGCTCTTCAGACATTACTTACTGTGATACATTTAAGTCAAATAGCTAAAGCCAATAAAATGATAATAATGGTATAGATGTAAAAGAATATTTTGAATATAAAAATATATGATATAATTACTTACAATCATATAACAATCAGAGATCGTGAAATTTTTTAATTACTTTATTCAAAGCTATGCTCTCTTTTGAAAAGATTAAATTAGATGAAAATATGTTTTATTCATCGCAATCTAATTGAAAATTTTACAAGATAACGAAAAAAGGTTAATATAAATGTTTTGTTCAAAGGTGAATAAATTCATTAAAAAATAAATAAAAAAAGATATTAAGCTGGAATGAAAAAAAAAAAAGAAAAGAAATAGATTAGCTGTATTTTTTTTGAGAAAAAGAGTCAATAGGTTTAGATGCTTTTATGTTTTACAAAAATGAGTTCGTAATGCCAAAAATTTATTAATATGGAAGAGAACCATGATGACCAACAATTTTTCTACGAGAATCTGAAAAGAAAAATGAAATTTTTTATTTTTAATTCAAAACTGAAGAAAAAAAATCTTACAAGTTCTTTTGTAACTATTGATACTGTCATTGTTTTCATCACTCTCGAATTGATTTTCTCGACGGCGTTCGACTTGATCTTCTAAATGTCTTTCGTTATTATGAAGTAATTCTTCTCGTTTAGCTTCGACTAAATAATCTAAAATTTGTTCTCTTAGTGCATTGTCGAGATACTAAAAGTAAAAGATATTATAAAAATTGTCACATTAATTAAACTTAAAGTACGTACTCGTTCTCGTGGTCTAGCATCAGTGAAACATATCAAGGAAAGTGTTAACATGAATCCAAATATCACTGCAACAGTCTTCATTTTAAGTTGGATAAAATGAAAGTTTGTCTACAAAAAAAAAAAAACAAAGCGCATCCATTTCTTGCATATACATATATAGATATACATATACATGTATTAATGCAATACTTTGTTCTTACCTATTGCAAAAGTGAATATTGTCGATCACGTAAAAGAAAAAGCCGTAATGTTTTATATGAAAAATTTTCTTTACGAAAATTGTCGCAAAAATCAATGAAGCATTTCAAATATTTTCGTCATTTTTGTTGATCACTACGATTTTTTTTTTGTTTTCTTATTTAACATGGGTTTTTTTTTAACGTGTTGACGTCGCCTACGCCCAGCTACATATTTTTTCCTCATTCAATCGATCAACTATAGATTCTCTCTGTTTACCTAGTTACTTGTTTTTTTTTTCAATGTTCGACGATGACCACGTTTTCTTATATTGGTTCGATAAAAATATTAAACGACCAATATTCACCTTCAATTATTATTCATTTTGAGAAATTATATTTATTGGTGCATAAGTTCATCTATTAGTAATTCTTTAGGACTGATGAAAATATTGAGAATATCTGTTTCTATGCTTAAAATAAACAATCGAAATATGGCGAATTTTTGTCAATATAAAATTATGAAAGCATCCGATTCTTTATTTGTTTTTAGATCTCATTCGCATAGCTATATATTTATATGTGTCTTTTTCAATACAAACAAACAATTTTTTTTTTGTATACGAAAATCAAGAGAGATTTTTGAATGACTTAAGTCTAATCTAACATATAAATGTCAC